CAAGCCATATGATACAATATAATATCAAATGATTAAAAAAATTAGTTATTTTTTAAAAAAAATTTGATAAAAAATAAAAAAAGTTTTTTTTTTGAACAGTCCGGTTTTTAAAAATCGGATCCAGTTCCCGGCTTGATTCTGGTTTTCGGTCTGACCGCTGGTTCGAAACGGCTCAAATCGGCTCAACTCTTAAAACGGTTTTTTCCTTTGAACCAGACCGGTCGACGGTCCGATCGGCCGGTCCGATCTCGTTTTCAAAACAGTGGTTCTAACAACTTTATTATTAGGTATGGGAAGACATTAATATATGTCGTCCCTCTCATATTGCTGAGACTGTAAATTAGATGCTATAAGAAGTGGAAAATAAAGCCTATGATGGAAAAAAACTCACTCATGAAGTCCACTTTTACACATGCAACATGCTTGACTACTCATCACAAAAACACCCTCTTGGTGAACTAATTCATGCTCTGGACTTGTTTATTTATATTATGCTCAGAGAAACTGTGAACACTGAACACCGTGCTTGAGAGAAGAGAGTGACGTTGAAGGAAAGAATGAAGCAGAAAAATTGATAGAAGAGATAGAGGTCAGGAGACGGATAATGGAGAAGGAGGCCACATTTGGAGGGAGAATTGGAGACAGAGGAGACAATAACAGAGAGATTGAGAAGAAGCATCGAACTATTTAGAACATTGATCTAGTCTTTCAATGGGCATTCATGGCAGAGGAGCAAAGGGCATATCAAGTTTCATGTTTTTGCGAGTGCTGGGCCACATGCTTGAATGGGGTACATTACCTCATGGTGTACCATTTCTTAAGTGTATAAGGTATATCTTCAGCCTTTTACATTGTATCTTTCACCATCTTGCCCTCGTTTCCTGACAATATCATCATGACTCTTGGCTATGGGTTTGTTGCTTAGACGTTCATAACAGTACTCTTGATTGAATGATTTAGGTTATGCCTTTTGCTTCCTCTCTTCGTGTTCTTATCTAATTAATTTTCTACTGAGGCTCTATATTTGGAACTTGACATTTGTGAATCAATTTTTTTTTTTTTTTCAATTTGGGGCGACACTTCATGTGTTCTTGCCAAGCCTTGTTTACCAATAATGTGAGCCACCCTTTTGTTTCGTACTTCTGTCTCATAAAGAATACATATGGAAAGTTTGAAATTTGAAGCATTGCTATATATGCATGCTTATCTCTTTGAACTTTTTTTATTTCTTAAGTGGGTTTGTCACCTAGCCTTTAGTCATAAGAGAGATGTTGAGGTATTTGAGATTTAGGAGTTCACTGCGGGAAGATTTAACAAATTGCTTTGTTGAGTTGTGTATTATGGTATTAGATTAGTTTCTTTACTTTATGATTAATGGAATCAAATTTTGTGTGATCTTCATGCTAGGTCTAGGAAGTCAAATCTGATGTTTGAAATTGATAACGTTGGTGGTTAAATTTTATCCAATGATAGATTAACACTAATTCTTATTATTTCTTTTGAGCATAAGGGGATCATCAATCTAAGCTTGGCCATCATCTTCGGAGAAATAAAAGAGAAGATAGCACGGTAGTTTGTTTTTCCCCCCTCCCTTTATCTTTTAGTTTTACTGTATTGGAACATATTATTACTTAAGTAAGTGTATTGGCACACACAGTCATAGTTTTTCTATATTATTATTATGGAGTTACTTGTGCGAGACCTAAATTTCCACGTGTCATGTGAACGACTCCATAGGCATGTTAATTAATTTGTGTTCTCAAACCTAGGTTTAAATGTCAAACTCTCATTTTATTTTAGCGCACACAACTTTTCTTATTAATTAAGTTAAAACAGAATAGTATGGTCTTAACACGCATATAAATAAAATCAAACTCCTCAACCAATTTCTGTTTTTATAGACCATTGAAAAGAAATTCTAAAAATCTTACTTTATAAATTTTATTGGCAACTCCGATTCATTTAATTTTTCTATTCTGACAATAAATTTTTTCATGCAGCACTTACTAACCATGCGCTAAGTGCCTTTATGATCTTTTTTGGTAACACCAAGTGAAGTATAAAAGTTTTTTTTTTTTAAAAAGTATTGTTTATTCAGTTGAATGAACTAGTCAAGTGAACTCTAACATGAGCTTATTACACTGATAAACTGAAATGGTTTTCTCAATCCAACCAGCACAAATTGGTTAGCGGATTCTACCGGCCACTCTATCACATTTTATTCTACATACATCAATAATAATTCTAACAAAATAATTAATCTAAAAAATATTTTTATATTCCACATTTAAAGTAGGAAACTGAGGTCATAAAGAAAAATTACAAATAAAATTTGTCATGGTTAACTTGGGATTTAGTTTCATTATTCATTTGTTTAGTGGGCTTTTAGTAGTGGGCCTGGGCTAGCATTTGAATGATATATTAGATTTGAGTAATTAGGCCTTTTCACTAGCCAGTAGATAAGGGTCAATCTTGGTTTGAGCCCCAAAATTATATAGGAGCTGGCATTTTACCTTAGACGCCCAACACTTTCTCATTCTCTTTGAGCCTTGACTGCATCGTCATCTTCAGCACAAGTGCACAACACAAGGAAACAAAGCAGCAAGGCGGAAGCAGAAGCTCCAAGTTTTTAGTGAAAAGTGCTCCATCGTTTACAAAAACACCAAAAACATGTGCTTCCTTATTTGGTATTGTTACAGATGGAACCAACCTTGCTTCAACCTATCTTCCTCAAGCTTCTTGAGCTTTGGTAATCTTCCCTTTACGTATTTGGGGAAAGAAGACTAATTCTATCAAGTGATTAGATTGAACCATTTCCGGCCTCCACGCTTTATTCTCACGCTTGATAAAGAGTAAAGAGAACACGTTCAACAATAGTGACTAAAACACGTCCCTAAACCAACCCTCTCTAGTAAAAACGTTAGACTAGCGTTGTGGAGTCCTCAGAACAGAGGACTCCTCCAAAAATAGGCGTATGCCGCTTTAGGTGGCGAGCACACGGTATTCTTTAGTAAAAGGCGAAAGAATAGTTCGCTCTGTGCTCACCACACGGCTCCGTGTTTTTACATGGGGGAGCTTCGTTCGTTTTATAGCTGGGAGCACTTGCCTTCACTTATGACTCTGCCCGATGTGGTACCTGAAACCGGCACTTAATCTTTCTCATACTTCCACCTTCCTTTGCTTTTCAAGGGGGCCCAAATAAAATAATCATGCTCGTTTGCAAATATTTTTGAATACACAGACAGTTGTGTTCCGCAGATTACAATTTAGGTGTTAAAATCTAACGGAATTTAAAGCCTCAGCTCACGAAAAGCCAACTGGTGAAGTTCGCTTTTGCAGAACATCCATGATCCTTGACTGAATAGACTATGATGAAAATAATGTGGCTACCAACTTTCAATTGTCAGGTTCTAACAACTTCGTTATTAGGAATGGGAAGATATTAATGTATGTGGTCACTCTCTCATTGTTGATATTGTAAATTGGATGCTATAAGAAACAAAAAATAAAGCACAAAAATGGAAGAAAACTGACTTATGGCTATCAAGTCCGCTTTAGAACACCCTCGTAATGACAGTCATACTTCTACCGGTTTTGCGTAGTGACGTTGCAGGGAGAATCAAGGACGAAAGCTGGGAGAAGAGAGCAGCGTGGAGAGGGAAGCAAAAAAATTAAGATATGAGATTGAGGTGAAGAGAGAGGATATTTAGGGAGAGGGGAAACAGACTGAGAAGGAGGATTCAACTATTTAGAACATTTGATGGTTTAAAAAAAAAAATTATTTAGAACATTAAACTGTTCATTCAGGGTATTCATAGAAGAGGAGTAAAAGATCGTATCGTGTTTCATGTTTTTGTCGAGCGATGGCCTAATGCTTGAATGAGGTACACTTGCTTATGGCATGCGATTTCCTCAAGAAGAATAGAAGCAATCTCTTGGGCCTTTTCTAATGACCCTTTTTATTGCACTATCTAGCCCACATCTACTAACTAATATAATCATCAAATGAGCTTAATGCTTGGACGCTTTGGAATTTGCTTGCTCTATGTGTTCTCGTCTAATTTTTTTGCTGAGGCTGTAGCACGTTAGGAACTTGAGATTAATTTTCTTTTCATCCTGTGTCTCTGGTATTTGAATAAATTATTGCTTAAAAGTTTGTATTAGATCACACAACCACAATTTTCTACTAAATATTTATATCACCATCATCAATCAATCAATCATCAATTCTATTATACAAAACTTGTAGCACGCATTTGATTAGTCTTCATTGACTAAAATGCCATTGATCCATTTTACTTTTCTTAATTGATATTGGTCAAATTCCATTAATTTTGCGTTTAAACCAAAGATAACCCCTTATGCATTCATATTGGGATGGGGTGTTGTGTTCAGACTGTGTAGGAACATTCATTCCCACCGGTATTTTTTCTACCATGTGAATCGAACAGTCGTAACATTTTTTTTTAACGGTTCATTAATTACTCTCTGTTATACCCATATTCTATGCATCTTCCCCATGTGAGGAAATATGGCTACTCTCTTTTTCTATTTTGTTTTTCAAATTTGAAATGCGTGTTATATGATTTATTTCCTTCTCTTTCTCCATTATCAGTTGGAATGTCTCCATTGGATTTTTTTTTTTTTCAATTCTTATCCCATTTTAACTTGCTTCTCCTCTCCCATTTATTTCTGAATCTGCTCAATTGACCCTCTTTGATCGTTCCTCCATGGTAATGTTCTTAAAATCATTCTTTGCAAATTCCATTTATTCTTTTTTTTTTTCCAATTCTACAATTTTAACCCTCGTTTTTTTTTGTTTTGCTTCCATTCTTTATGTTGTTCTTCTCTATTTCTTACTTTGCTTTCTTCATCATCATATTACTAATACGTTTTTTCCCCCATATATTCTCTTTAAATTCCTATACCATTCTCATGTCTTTCATTTTTCACTCTCACCATTTTTTTTTATTTTGCTTACAGATAGACTCAAACCAAATAACCCCTTTAAAAGAGCTTACTAACGGAGATTCCCACTTTGACATTCATGTTCACTTGTTCGCCTGTTAGGAAAGACGATAGGGGTTGTCCATGTATCGTCAAAACTTTAAATGCAATAGCATGTGATAAGGAGGTATGATATTTCCCTTCTGCTTCTCTTCATTTTTTTGTTCATTACTTCTTATATTTCATTTATCTTATGTTTTCATCTTTTTACAAATATTTTATGGTACTCATATGATGGTTGTCATTGACAAGGTTGATCTGATTCATAGTCTTTAGCCCATCCCCCATGAGGTTTATACATACATCATTCATCATTTTGAAATTATGTCAAAAACCAATCCTTTTTCTATGTGCTATTTGATTAGAGTTCATCTGTATAACCGTTTGGAGGTTGTCCGATGTGCTTGTTTCCTCGCCTGTATTAAGGCGTTCTTCATTGGCGTTAATGCTCGACAGTGAAGAAACAGCTCTTCTATAAGATTTAATAAAATGAATTTACTTTTTCATGTTTTCTTGATACCAGAGTAATTGTCACTTTTCCAACATAATGTATCCTTTGTGTATCTATTCAATAAACAGATGTTGCTAGCTTGATGGTAGATGTGAGAAATTTGCAGAAATTTCAGAAGGAAGGATTTCAGGAAGAAGGTTTCTTGCCCTATTGCTTTTCCTTTTCTCTTACGGATGCTTGGTGTGTTTCTCCAGTATATTTGTCAGGTAACTTCTTTTGATCAGATTAGGCTTTGGAAGCCATTGGTAAAGCTTCGGAAGAGAAAGTTCCAAATACATCTATCTGCTAAAGTTATTTTCTGCCTATTTTCTTCTTCTTCTTTATAAAGTTATTCAGAGTGCCTTAATTTAGCCTAATTTAAGGGTTTTCATGAGATTCATAATAGTTTGCTTATTTCGCTTTCTTTTATTCAATTTTTCGTTTCAAAGATGGTCTGAGTTTCTATACATGTCGTCAGTTGAGAGAAATAACATATTTTTCACAATCTAGCTGTAATTGTTGCTTGAGTGGTGGTATTGCTACCTGATGTTTGAGTTTGGACATATCTGAATTAAGCATTCACTAATTCACTAATGAAATAAAAAAAATGATATTATGAGAAAACATTTGACTCTTTATTTTTGGTGGTTAATATATTTAATTATTTGAATGTAGTACATGTTTTTTTATTGATGGACAATGGCCATATGATGAGCATCAACCTTGTGTTTATGGAGAATGTGGGGTGGTTAATAATGTATCTTTGGCTACTTATCCTAACGAAATGCCTGTTTCAGCTCCATAGGTAGCTTCTGGTTCTAGCATGGATGTGGATAATAAGGCTATTCGGCGCATGGTAAGAATTGGTCTCACCTATAGAGTCTTAAGTTTTGTAATTAACAACATTGCTGAGTAAAGTGTCTGGACTTTAGAGTTCATTTTGAAACCTCATTGTACCGATGGAGTTGATAAATTAGATTCTTATAGGTCTATTGAATTTTCCATTTAGATTTGCATTTACAGATACAGTATTTCCGGATTGCCTTAACCCTCGTAATTTGTATACGCAAAAACATTTGTGCAATGTTTTTTTTTTTTTTCACGTGTTATGCTCTATTTGAGAACTCCACTTTCTTCTCAACTGTTATGTTCCATCTCTAAACTCGCACCAGCTTTGTCTTCTAGTTTCTCAATGGCTGCTTCAATCCCCACCATCAAACACTACAAGCTCAATGCTGAACCACTCAAAGAAGACCCCAGTAAGTTTTATTATCATTTTCTCCACAGAGTCGTCATCGTCACGATTTTCTTGGTCATGCTTCCCTTATCCGCTAGCATTTTGACAAAATCAATGGGTTTGAGAGACAGTTCAGTCTGGGATTCGACCTAATCAACCTTGAGTAGGCCATATGGAAGAAGATTGTCAACAAGAACGTCGATTTCTTTGCGTTTAGGATTTGCGATTTCCAAATGGATTTGCTTTGCATGCACTGGGTTCTGATTTGATCTTGGGATGGGTTTAAAGGACAGACTTGATCACTCTTACACCCATCCATGATCTTCAAACTACGCATTGTGGCAAAGATATTATGCTGCATCTTTCGTATTTCGTGTTCAAGGAAAGTCAAAAGTCTAAGTCTGAACAAAATTAAAAATCTACGATTGACAGCTCCAGAAAAAAGTTGGACAGCAAATTTTCCGAAGGATTTTAAATGAGCTGTCCAAACACCGTTGGGTTAACAAGATGATCGAGGACGAGATTGTGGAACCAGACCCATTAACAAAAACAGAAGTGGGATTCGATTCATTCACAAATTGCGGATTTAGAACAGTGGACTATTGAGGAAGTTGCCGATTTTGACCCATGGCTATGGAGGTGACGATAAGGTGTTGTGCCCTGAAGTAGAAACAAACCCTTCAACGATGCGCCAAGCTTGCTTGTTATTAAATTTAAGCCTTCCAGCATTTATTGTGATCGTTTCTTATTTGTTTTACATGGCATTTTCAATTTCAATGCAAAAATTAATTAGTACTTAACTTAATTAATTGAGAGTTGGTTTTTCAGTTGTACAGTATTTCAATTGTATTTATGTATTTATGAATTATGAATTTGATTACTGTTGATTCCCCTTTATTTTCATTTATTTTAACATGTTTATAGCTAAACAAAAAGTCTATTTTTAATATTAACTTAGTCCTTCAAGTTTAATATCTAATTTTCACACATGTGAACGAAATAAATTTTATTATTTATATCATGAATAACACTGTTATCTAGATGAAATGAAATGCATGTTATATATTGCTGAAAAATGCTTAATTATAATGCACTGAATATATAACATAATTTTTCATAAATTAATTAGAACCAAATGATTATGTATTTATTTCATTCATGGAAAGAAATTTAAAATAAGTGTAATGAAATACAAGTAATTGAGTTTTATTTTATTACTTCACATTATTCTTTCATACTTATCATCTTCAATTGAACTTATTTCTTTTCAATGTCTCTCTTTTACACAAATGTTGGATAAGTTTTCAATAACCCTAAACGTTGATAATATTCCTTCATTCAAATGATTTTAATTAATTTGAATTTCTCCAACGGACTAATTCCTAATAACGATAGTTATTATAGGGTTGTCCGTGGAAGACTTGATTTTTCACTAATGTATTGGATGATTATGTGCCATGACAGCCAAGAAGGCTTTGCGCTGTATTCTTCACCACACACTTTTCAATTAATAAAGAAATAATTGAAAATAAAAAAATAGTATGGTTTTACCACATGGGAATGACTCCCAAGCCCATGTCTATTTTTCTGACCACATTTTTTTAGGAAAAGAAAATGTTTTTCAAAATTCTTTTAAAAATTTTAGCAGTGGCTCCATTCCACTTGATTTCCCATTGTAAAAATTAAAGCTTAGGTGCAACAGTTGCTAACCATATTCTAAGTGTCTTGATGATATTTTTTTACTAAGAAAAAGTGAAACATAAAATTTTAAAAATTATTCTTATTTTTATAGAAATTACAGGTTTAATGAACTAGACTTTTTTGTGATTTTTTTTATACAAAGGAGGGTTTTCGTGGAAATGTAAATGAACTAGTCAAGTGAGTTTATTTTAACATTAGCTACTTGGGCTGACTAACCCGAATTATTCTTATTGGGCTTCTTGGCCTTCGACATCATAAACCCTAATCTAAACCCTAACGTGGTCTATAAGATCTATCGGACCGTCCCTGTAAGCTTCGACTTCGTTTTACGGTTGTTTCCACACTAGGCGTCGCCGTTCCCCCTCAGTCTTGCTGTATTAAAAGATGGCTCCTCCTCGAGGTGTCCGATGATGTTTCATTCCTCTGTTACTATATATATTCAACATTATCAAGCGATAGTGTAGCTGTTTATCTTGCTTTCTTGTGTTTTTTCGTTTCTCCAGTGCTGGTGGACTTCGCCAATCCTTTCTGTTTTTTGTCCCGCGTCATGGATGGTCGCATGAGGTTTTTGGTTTGGCTAGCTAAACAAATGAACTTTCAGAGTTAGAGATAGTCATGTTTGTTTACAATGGAACGATTGTTTGGCAAATAAAAAAAAATTGGAATAGTTGGTTTATATTTGGAATTACAAATTTGAAGGTCGAAGTTTTTTGTCCTGTTTTGCTTTGACAGTTTTATCTAATCGATCGTCGACTCGGAGTATTGTCTTGTTTCTAATGCTGCAAATCTAAGTAGGTCGTGGCGGCGGCGGCGGCGGCAGGGGCAGAGGTGATGGCGGTCGTGGAGGCAGAGGAGGAGGGAGAGGCTTTGGAGGAAGAGGAGCAGATATGAAAGCTCGTGGTGGTGGACGTGGAGGCAGGGGCGGTCGAGGAGCGGGTAGAGGTGGTGGTCGTGGAGGTAGGGGTGGAATGAAAGGTGGGAGCAAGGTGGTCATTGAGCCACATCGTCATGAAGGAATTTTCATTGCCAAGGGTAAAGAAGATGCCCTTGTTACGAAGAACTTAGTCCCTGGTGAAGCTGTTTATAACGAGAAAAGAATTACCGTTCAGGTTATTTCCTTTTTAATTGTTCTTTCCTTTTGATACCTGCTGTTCTTCAATACGTTGCTCGAGGTTTCTTGTGTTAAATTACGGCTCGGTCCTGTAATTTACAGGTTTTGCGGTTGTTTGTATATGTTTATTGCCGCTTTTAACTATGTTAACTTGTTTTATCTTTTTCACCATTGGTGTGTGTTCTTGTTTAACTCTTGAATTGGATTCCATTCAGAAGTGGATAATCAATGATGGGCAACACATCAATGGTTATCATCTGTGTCAAAATATTTTCAGTGGAGCCTTGAATCTAAATGCTTCGCTGCTAAGCATTTTGATAGTGTTTATTAATAATATCATTTGCTTTAGTTGCCGGTCCTTCCCATTTTTTTCTGTTCTATGCTTAAATTTACGGGAATGTATTTGGATACTGACAAAATGTGTTGTTGTATTTGGACACTGACAAACTATGTTACCATGTTTAGAATGAGGATGGTTCAAAAGTTGAGTATCGTGTGTGGAACCCTTTCCGTTCCAAGTTGGCCGCTGCTATTCTTGGTGGAGTTGACAACATTTGGATTGTAAGAATCTCTCTTGCCTTAGGCTGTATTGTTATTTGGCCTTGTATTCCGAATTCAGTTTCTTATATATTTTTCATTGCATTGTGGAATATAGAAACCTGGAGCCCGTGTTCTTTACCTGGGAGCTGCTTCTGGGACTACTGTCTCCCATGTTTCTGACATTGTTGGCCCAGTAAGTATTATTTCTAATTCCCTTCAGGTTTCCATATAATGTTGAATAGAGCTAATAAGACCAAGGCGTTATTGTTTGTAGACTGGAGTGGTCTATGCAGTAGAGTTTTCTCACCGGAGTGGAAGAGACCTTGTCAACATGGCTAAGAAGCGTACTAATGTTATACCCATTATTGAAGATGCCAGACATCCTGCCAAATACAGAATGTTAGTTGGCATGGTAGATGTCATATTTTCTGACGTTGCTCAGCCGGATCAGGTTTGGCTTTATTTTGTGGAAAGTAATTTTATGGAAGAGAGATCCAACTTCACATGTTCAGTCATGTTCATTTTTTATTTTTTACTGCCTTTTGTTTTCTTAAGTTGCTTACTTAAGCTTCCTTTGCATAAGCTTTTCTTTTGTTGTCTCTGGCTTCTGCTTTGGACTTGGTACAGAATACCTTTTTAACATTTTTGTATTACTTTGTGCTTTTGTTGTCCTGATTTTCTGTTTCTAGTGCTTTTCTGTTAGATTTCGTTTGCTGTTTTGTAAGTTTTTCTATACATGATATTCGTTTTTTTTTTCCTTTGTTCGTAAGTCGTGTTCCTGATGATTTCTGGAAGATCTTTTGTTAATATTTTTTAAATGTTTCTTGTTCACTTTGGTATGTGCATTTTTCACTATTTGATATTTGATGCTCCGTGCATATGATGAGCTAACTCGGATTCCCCTTCAAGACATCATGGATGATGCAGACCCGAGTTTCTGATGCACTTGAACTTTGATATATATTCTACTTTGAGTTTTTTAGCACCCATGTTTGTATACATATTTATTTATCCTTTAGATGAACATGTTACTAGTGGATTAGTTTGATTGATCAGGTTGTGCTTTAGCATTTTCTTTATCATGTTTCAATACAACCTCTCTCTTCTATATTGTTTGATTTAATAATAGGTTGTGTCATTTCTCAAATTCTCTATGCACTATTAACCAACTTGCTGAATAGAGGCCCTTTGTCGGAGGATCTGGTTCTCATTATGAAACCTTTGCAGGCTAGGATTCTAGGGCTGAATGCTTCATATTATCTGAAAACAGGAGGCCATTTTGTTATTTCAATCAAGGTTTGTTCCGAATTCTGGCATTTAATCAATCCTATTATGCAGTTAGGGTCTTTCCAAGCCGTGTCTTTTAGTGCCGTTTTATTTCTCAATTCAAGAGAGACGTTGTAAATGAAGTTATTAATGGGATTTGTTTTTAATTTTGTATGACTAGTTTGTGGGTCATTATTACTATTATTATTATTATTAGACTTATAACTTGGTTTGTATGTCAGGCCAACTGCATAGACTCGACAGTGCCAGCAACAGCAGTGTTTGCGAGTGAGGTGAACAAGCTGAGGGCTGATCAATTTAAGCCGAGCGAGCAAGTGACTCTGGAGCCATACGAACGAGACCATGCTTGCGTGGTCGGTACTTACAGAGTGGCCAAGAAGAAGAAAGATGCCGAGTAGATCGCTTAATATTGCTCCACAACTAATGTGGAATGTGGACGTCAATCCCTTGGCGAGTAATTTCTTTTAATTTTCTCTTCCTTGAGGGAGAATGTAACGGGTCTTATTTGACTTTCGTTTTTGTGTCGTCGTCTTGTTTTGACGAATATACTTGACGCCTGCTTGTACTCGAAATGTTTATTTGTGATGCTTTAGTGGAAATTAGTACCCTGATCAACAGAGAGCGAAATTTGATGCGTTTCTGTTAACACATGCTATATGTACTCAACGTAGGATGTATTTAACTAGTATATATAGGTCAAGTGCATGTTTGGACGTCAAATTGAGTTAGTTTTAAGACCTAAAATTATGGTTTTGTAAAAATATATTAAAAAATTATATGACAAAAGTGATTTTAAGCTCAATCATCATTTTTTTTTAAATGTTATAAATATCTATTATGCATGTTAAAAATATCCTGACACTTCTATACATATGATAAAATCAATTATAAAATCATGATTAATTAATTGAGATCATAATTAATAGTAACGTCAATAAGGTGTTTGGGTATTTAAAAAAAATTATGATTTTTTTTCCTAATTAATTTTCAAATGTGTAATGATTTTTTTTTAAAGAAAATCATGATGTTGAGTTTTTCATTAATTTTAACATGTAATATGATTTGATAAAATTTTATAAAACAATGAGTTTCTTATTTTCAATTTAACCTTATTTTTAATTTTATTTTTCAATTCTATTTTTATTCTGTTTAAAATTAATCTTATTAAGTAATGTTATAAATCAATCATATTAATCAAATTTTCCATATTCATTTTATTTTTCATCCAAAGTCCAAACTGATCCTAAGAAATTCAGGTAAATTAGATATTTGTAGAAATGTGCCATGATTTCTGATCCGGAGGGAACTTCAATGATAAACATTGATTCTGGTAAATTGTAATGGGATGATTTTGCCGTGGGAGGATGTTCAAGCAACTTTTTGCCGTAGGACGAGAGAGCAGAGAGAAAGGATGGAGGAAAGAAAGAAAAGAAACTCAAGGGAAACAAAATACTGTAATATTAATATTTTTATTTTTTATGAAAATATTAATATTATTTAATTGATGAAAACGTATAATTCATAGAAGGTGGGGATCACATATCATCCACGTCACACCATTCTCCAAGACGCGTCTAAGTAGAGCGTCACATGGGAAAGGTTGGACTTGGTTCCATACGAACCCAATGCCCGGCCTGATTTAGTTGTGCGAATATCAGGTCACTTAAAGGTTTGAGTTAGGTTTCTCGAAAATACTTCTTTTAAAATATAAATATTTGTTTAATAAATAAAAAGTATAATTAAAATTTTTTAACTATATTTTTAATAAAACTAATCTAGAATTGAAAATAATAATTTTTAAAATTTTATGTGCTTAAAAATGATATATTATTTTTACCTAATTTAAACTTATAATGTTAGAAAAATCAATTTAAAATTTTTAAAAAAGATTATAAATATTTAAAATAATAGAAAATATCTATAGTAATCATAAGAAACAATATAATAATAATAAATTCTAAAGAAAAATAATACTACAAGATAATTAATTTCTATACAAAATTAAAAATTCAATAACTATATTTTTGAGCTAGGCCGAGCAAGGCAGGGGGTTGGCCCTCGCTTGGTGCCCAGCCTGACTAGGTTGGATAGGATGAGGCCAGTCGAGCTACCTAGCCACATGAACAGGCTTATTTGAGTTATCAGTTTATCACTTTTCATTTTTTAAGAGATGGTGCTCATTAGTATAATGAGATTTGGACCATCTAAAATTTGATCTTAATAGTTCAAATTTAAAGCATTATTTTATTTTTTTATTTTATATTTATTAAAATAAAAATTATAAAAAAAATTAATAAATATTTATCATCAATATGGTCTAAATTTAATTTTGAGAGTCTAATTTAATATTAAAATTTTTATATATTAACTATCTAGGTATAGTTTTTATAGTCCAAATTTATAGTTTTTAATTTGTAATTTTTAAAAAAAATGCCAGTTTTATACATTTTAATTTTTAATATTACATTTATCAAAAATAAAAATTTATAAAAAATTTGATATTAAACATGAACTATACAGAGTATATCTGAATAGTCAATATATAAAAATTATAAAAATTTTCATACTAAATTAGACCCTCTAAATTAAATTTAGACAATATTGATGGTAAAAAGGTTTTTTTTATTTTTTTATAATTTATATTAATTTTTATTTTAATAAATAGAAAATAATATTTAAAATCTTGACCGTATACATAAGATGTTATCACACTTGCACTGAAGATGAGTCGATTTTTCAACTGACACTGCTGACAACCTTGCCAATCAGGCTCATTCCCTCATGCCAGGATACCTTGCTCTTTGGCTATTTCTTATTTGCGCTTTGTTTCATCATATAATGTCACGAGAAAACAATTTTAAAAATAGCAAGACCGGAGAATAAAGAAGAAATGAGGTATTTCTGTCTGTCTTATCTTCATCAGGAGATGACAACTTACACAGGGAATATATATTTGTACCAAAAGGGTAGCGAGTGCTTTACATGGATGGATAAAGCCGGAATAAGCATGCAAGACCGTTGACCCTTGATATAAAGCATGAGATCCAGTTGGATGGCCGTTGGTTCTGGACATGCGAATTCAACAATAAGGTTACCTGCCAGCTTTACAGATGTTTAGAGCTTAGGGTCTGCCTGTTATCCCATCGACTTCCATGTCTTCCTGCCCTCCCCATTTCTTCATGCGTTCACTTGTTTCTTCCGCCTACAAATTCAATGCCAAGTAGTCAAAAAGAAAACTATCGATTATTATATCTCTATGAATTTTTATACAAGCCAAGTATTTGCAATGGAAAAGGGAAAATGTGAAAAATGAGAGCACCACATGAGGACTTAATTGCATTAGCGCAGATGTTGCTTTATATTTGAAATTGACTACCATTACTAAATGTAAAGCAGAACAGCTCATCTTGTGGTAATTTGTTTTCGGCTTCGTGTGATTCAACTACAGTGTATTTGTAGCAGAATTAACATTAGGAGCTGCAACAATGAAAATTACTTGATGTCTAATGCTACAGAAAGATATTATAATTGGAGATTATCAGTTTCTAGTAGCGATCCAAAAGATGCAGGTGAATTTTCAGAGAGAATGTGAAAGAATCGCCTACCTCCTTGTTCCAATTGGTTCTATAAAGTACAAACAAGAGCATCAATGTCTGTAGAGCAGTTCCACATATCATTCCTCCCCAAAGTCCCTATACATGTATTGTAACAAATTTCAGAACTATCAGAAAATTGTTGTTATCTTTTCCATTTTTTTGTCAATTTATATCTTCCTTACTGCCCCTAGAAAATAGTTAATGCTGCGGGAATATAAAGAAAGGCTGCGATTAAAGGTCTTGTTAAAAGTATGCAACCGTTAGATTTGAGATAATCATTATTTACAAAGCGGTGAATTTTTAATAGAAGTGAACATGGTTTTGTCCTCTTTAGTCTCTCTTATTCTTCTTATTGGCAGAAAGAGTACCCATTTAAACGGAAAGTGTCCAAGTTCATATAAGATGTCAAAGACCACTTCATTCAAAATTTAGTAATGAAGTGTATGCCCCTACTGTAATGCATGAGTTTTCCCCTGAATCTCTTACACATTGTTTCACACAAAAGTCTTGGAGCATCGGCAAAGCACAGGCTCTGCTATGTCATGTCAGGGTCAATTTATATAGTTTTATCCATAGTCTCTGACAAACAAATCCGAGAAAACCAGACTTGCTGTTTTGTTTTGTTTTTTTTTTTTTCACTCTCTTGATTGAGCGCACAGACTTGTTGTTTTATTTCTCTTTTTCAAAATGGCAGTATTCCATGGAAAGAGAAATGATTGAATTACCTTGACCCCTAACTTTGCTTCATAACCAAGATAGAATCCCAGGGGAAGCCCAAAAATGTAATAACAACCCACATTAATGTAAGCCACCAGTGCCTGCCATCCACCTCCAACGGCAACACCTGCAGGAATGATTCCAAAATCATAAATAAAAAAAAAACAACAAAAAAAACTTTCTCTTCATGAAGTAAAAATGGAAATTTTCAATAATTCATACCTGAAATCACTGGTTGAACACTGTTAAGAAGTACTGTCACAGCAAGGAGGTCAGCTAGGCGGGAGACTGCCGCATGCAAAATTTTGCTGCTCGTGAAAATTATAGCAAAATAGTCTCTAGTTACCAAAATAACAACCATAAAAAATATGCCAATCAAGAGAGATTGGAATACTGTCACGTAAACAGAGTATTTTGCAGCTCTTGGATGTCCCAGTCCAAGTTCATTGGAAACTCTGACACTGCAGGTATTGGAGGAAAAAACAATGAGTTACACATGACATGATAAAGATGTCGAAATAGAGACATTCAGATCAAGTAAAATAGATCAAAGTCAGACTCAGAATAAGGAACCTGTTTCCCCTTTTTACCAATTATAAATCCACCAAGGGTCTCAATTTTAGTGCTGGTTGTTATTGCAATAAAAAATCCTATTTCTTGAAGCTGATTTCAATATTTGATTATAATTTTGTGCCAGGTGCCTTGGAATGTCATTTGTCATAAAATGTGAAAGGAAGGGGGGAAAAAAAACTAAGACATGGCTTCTGGCTGCATACCTTATTGCTGCGTTTATTCCAATAAACAGCATTGCTTCCCATCCATTGTAATTCATGCTATAAAATATCATTGAATGCATTAGAAAACGGATGACGAGACAAGCATAATTTCAATAACTATCAGATACAATACCATGGTGAACTTACATGTGGAGAAATTAATTACTAGGGTTTATGTAAAGTTAATTCCTTAGTTCGTCACGGTGCTAGCTTCTAACTGTAGCCTCTATACTTATTTTTAATTTTATCTACAACTTCAAGAGGGAAATTTCAGCCTAAACGTCACTTTATTTCTTCTTCTCCAGTTTTCAATTGTTCAAGAATAAAATTATCACTCTGTTCTTTTCCTTTTATTTGGCAAGAATAAGAGCATAGTTCTGCAAGCCTAAATAAAACCATCACGAGGTTCATGACCTTCATCCCTCCTCCCCTATGGAGAATAGAAATAGGATATAATGCGATGCTACAATGGTTCAGATATTGACCTGGTTTTGGAACTTGATGAAATATTTATGCTTGAACATGAAGTTATGATCTTACCAAATTGAGAGAGAATCTACAGCGATGACTGCGTTATCAAGGTGGCCAGTAAGAACAATAAGGCTCATCATATACCAAACCTCAAGGCAAAGCATTACAGCTGATTCAAGTGATAGCCTAACGAAAGCCCATATATCCTTAAATGCTGTCCAGGAGAATCCATGCCACCCCTCCTTGCACCAAACTACAACATAAACAACTTGAGCCAATGAAATCCCCCAACTTGTGACGTCAAATGCCACAGCTGCACCAGTTAAGCCCCAGTTGAATACATATACTAAGATCCATAACAACCCAATGCGCAGAAGTAGAGCCACAAAACCAATCCAGGCAATCACATTAACCTTGCTTTGAGCTTGAAGAAACTTTTGGGTTGGAAAATTGATGGCTAGTGAGAAAAACTGAGGAATTACCAATATAGTGAACTTTGCAGAAAGATCAGCTATCTCTTTCTGTTGGCCTAGAAATTCCAATATTGGAGCTGAAAAGATGTAAATTGGCAAGAGTAAAATGCAGGTGACCCATAGGATTATCCATGAGCGTTGCATGTAAACACCAAGCAAGTAAATTTGTCCAGCACCAAAAGCTTGACCACAAAGTGTCTCCAATGCACTTCCCATGCCAAGCTACAGGTTTCATAGAGTAAGATCAGATTTTAAACTTAATAAAACAACTTTCAACATATATCAATGCTAAAGCTTTACTTTGGCAGAAAAACACAAGTGAAAATTGATATGAAAGTCGGAAATTTTCAAGCGCAGTATCAATTACTTAATTATTTATTGTGTAGTCATGGACTAGACTTCAAGCTGGACTTTGTGTTAATATTTGAAGGATATGGATCCCACACCCCGTCCACAATCAATTCTAGTTGCCATTCTTTCCGCAACACATAGTAATTATGCATCACAGTTTAATTAAAGCAAATAGGCTTCTGATATCACTTGCAACACTCAAAGATTAAAAGTAAATCAAGAGAGTGACATCAATGCATTGCAGATTCTCTTCATCATAATTCAAACCACAAAGATAAAACTTTCTACTTCACAAGATGAAGCGCTTTTAAGCCATTGTAATTCAGAGAAATCTGTAAAAAAGTTATTCAGCTTTAAAGGAATATGGACTCCGCATTGGTAACAGATTAGCCTCCAAGGGACTCAAGTATTGATGATATTTAATGTGACCAAAAAGATTTGCAACGCCAGCTGAAATGAAATTAAGCCAACAACGAAGACATTGAAACTTAGCTTTAATTAGCCAAGGCACGAGTGAAGTGAGTAAAAGAGAAGTAAAGAGACAAAGTTGATTGAGTTTCTCATGCACTAAGAACCAGTCATGACACTGGTGCGTAATGTCAACCGTGTTTAAATGTAAAGTATTATATCAAATTTGTATTACGTTAACGCACACTGTGTGATATGTGATAGGACTCTGATTTTCAGTATTGATGGAATATTTGCGTTGATAAACATACTCAGACACATCCATATAGCTTTCATACTCCTTCATCTAGAGAGAGGCGATTGAATACACTAACCATGAAGCCAAAAGAGAAAGTTCCGATAACAGAAAGAGACAGAGAAACCGCAGAGAGCTCAATTTCGCCAAGATGGCCGACGAAAATGTTGGTGAAGGAGTTGACGGCGAATTGGCACACAATGTTGAAAATGATCGGCACGGCAATCTGCCACAACTTGACCGATTCTGTCCAGAACACCTCCCTGGCGGCCCTAAACCCCTCAACTGGAGCGTAGTCGCCGTTCTCGGCCACCATCGCCAGGGAAGGCGGCGGAGCGTCTGAGGTTTTGAGCAGAGGAGCGTGTGCATCCATCTCAATCGCCGCCAGAGAAGCGTTGAAGAAAACAGAGAAGGAAGGAATAGCAGTTATTTACAAGAGACCATTCACAGTACTTGTTTGGCTTTCCTGTTGCATTCTGTGACTCCGCCACTGCATGCCTCCCAGTAGAGAGCTTAAATGCAGTAGGCTGCGGTGCAGCCTGCAGCCGCACTCAATTATTATTATTTTTATGTTATTTTTTGCTTCCCCCAAAAATAATGCTCAGTTATTTTTTTTCTAAAATTTCGTTAAATTACATAGAATATATATTTTTTTTTAATTTTTAAAATCATATTTGATGATTTTGTCCATAACTATAATATGATAAAGCTGAGAATTTAAGCAAAATGCAATTTATTTGGTCCACGAGATAATAGAACTAATAAAATAATATACTATTTTTTTGCCAACAATAAATAATACACCTTAGTTCACTTTTATAAGTTGATTAATAGTAACATTAGTCGATTAATTAAGTAAGATTTAAAAAGTCAGAAAATCACATGTTACGACGTAGCAAGTGTGCATGAAGGCATGCATTAAATTTGGATTAGGTAACGTGAATGGTGTAGGCTTAGCCGCGTCGACTGTTCTTCACTGATCGGATGTGGCGTGTTGTAAAACACTCTCTTCAACACCAAATTAATTATATCTAATGGACAAAATTGAAAAAGTTACTCGTTTTTTTACAGATTTAAAGATATCAACTATCACTCTTTTAAGAACCATGAAATAATTAATTTACCTTATAGTGAAGAGAAGACGGAGAAATTAACAAGTCTCGTATAATGTTTTGTCGGTGATAATTAACGAGAAAAATAAAAAGATCCATGCTTTGGGGACACATCATGGTGATATAATAAAAGAGGTAGTTGGGAAGTTATAGATAATGTACGCAAACGTAGCAAAAGGTTTGTGCATGGTAGATAAACGTTACTGAATTTGGAGTAGCAACGTCTTTATATAGGGAGGGGAAAAGTTGAGAAAACTATTCTAGTAATATGCAGCCAATATATTGGAAGGATTCAAATTAAATGTCTGATGAATGCTTCACCATACAATTAAAATGGCAAAAAATAAATCCAACCCTTCTTTCTGCCTAAATAAATTAAATTATTGTAGCTTTACTCTTTTTTAAAAAAAAATAACTACCTAATATTTAATGTTATTGGTTCACCATGCAAATAGACTCGTTTGTCCTTTAGCTCCTATGTTTTTCTTGACAATTTTTGAATATCCAGCTCAGCAAAAATTGATAGAAGACAGAAACAAATTAAAATAGCAAAGTAAAACTTTGCGATGATGCTTAAGTGAAGTAGGGATCTTCGTCCCAAAAGTTAGTTATTGAGTAAACAAGATCGACCTACTTAAATATTTTATCAAGAAAGCTATGTTACACCAAACATGAGATCTTACACACTTCGATGTGAAACTACCTGTAAACTTTGAAGAGAGATAAGTAAAATTATCCTTACTAATCCTTCTTAACCTCCAAGCATCATGGTAATTATTGAACTCAATAAATTATATAAATGAGATCCTAAATTTTCAATACTTAAAATAGATTTTCACAAAGTGAATGTCAAAGTTGATCATTTTATATGCAAAAGTATGGGATCACAAAAAAAAATTAGTACATTTGCTTAAAATTTGAAAAACAATGAAACAGTGCATGAAATAAGGCATGCGCCACGTCTAGTGTGACTTTGTGCCATGCGTCGTGATTCATTACACACTTTTGACAGCAAATTTTGCTATCATCTAATAGTAACTAAGGGCAACTTCTGACGCACCCTATTTCTCCGTCCAACTTTTGATTGATGTAATATAGGCATCTATAGAGAGCTTTTCCCTTACTTTAACTAATGGCTTTGGTTTCATAATCAAATTATCTCTCATTCAAAAGTTGAACACTCATTTAAAAAATCCTTCTTTTTCACCATTTTTACATAACTTGAGTGCCCAAAACTTACGCCAAAAATCAAAAGCTACAAACACCACTAGATCACATTCAATTAACTAAAATAGACATGTGCAATACACCACATCACTAACAATACTTATTAAATGTATATCCATTGCTCAACCCTTTAATCTCAAAAACAAAAAGGGGAGCTCAAATCTAACATTTCATCAATTAATCATCATAATTTATATGTCATACATAACTCTTACTTGCACTAATATTTTGGCCCTGCTATAGGTCTCATAATAAATACTCATACACCTTAAGGCCCAAAATACACCATATAATTTAACAAAACACATAGTGCAAATAAGTCATAACATGAACTAACCCTAGTTAGCAATATCATGCAAAAATATACACATTAATACTTCAAAAAGTAAAGAAAGCCTACTAATAGGATATTAATCCTATGCCTCAGGCTGTTTTCCTCTGTCTTATCCACTTGAACTAGTTCTTGTAATATTAAAGATAATAGAGTGAGTACAACTACTCAATAACTAAGGTCTATCTAACTCATATCAATGCATGTCAATCAATTTAGATGTAAGTCGCAAAAATATTCAATTTCAAATCATTTAGTATATTCAAGAGCATAATTCAATATTCTCATTCATAATAACACATGCTCATAAAATAATAATTTAGTAATACAATTTCATAATCATATGATTTATTTCACTAAGGTCATAATATAGAAAATCATATACCCTTTTATCGTTATATGCATAATCACACCTCTCATATATTCACTTTATGCCTTTGATACGAAATCGTGGACTATAACACATTGGAATCATCTATAAACTGAGATTACCCTGGCTAAAACACGCAGGAGAGATCACCCAGTGAAGGTTTCCCATCTCATTGATGAGTCACGATTTTTTTCATTTTTCACACTATAGGGTGTCATTTTCCCTAGACTAGTTTCTTCATTGGACAAGTGGATAACTAGCTAGGTTCAAATCTATCATTAAACCAGTAGGACAGTCCCTAGTTGAACAAGTAGAACAATAATATAAACAATCCAGACAAGCCATCGAGCTCATATGGAAGCTTTACCATGTATATTTAATTCTCTACTCCTTTTCCTAAACAAACCCCCGCCTCTCAAGATCATGCGATACATAACAATGCAACATTTCAAGGCATGTAATTTCTCCATGTCAAGCATGCATGACATCATCATTGCACTCATCTCATACATGAAAATCACATTAATACACATAATCAAATTATTGAACTCCTCATTTACAGATTCATTGACCTCCTCAACTATACATTTCATTGAACTCCGTAAATTTCACTTCATTGAACTTTACAATTTCTATTTCATTAAACCATTCACATATCAAGTCATTAAACTTCACTTATCATATAATTATTGAACTCCTTATCAACTCATATCATTGAACTTTAAAGAAATCATATCATAGCATTCCATTAATAATGTTTCATAGAATTTTACATGTACCATGTCATTGAACTTTACAAAATTATTATAGTAGATTTTTCAAGTAATTCATGCCATACTTACATTTCATTGAATTTCACACATTTAAATTATCAAATTTAAACTAATAAATCAATCAACATACAAAAATACAAGAAAGAATTCCTCCAGTTACTTCAAATCTTTGAGAGATCAAAGATTTCACCACTTAATTACACACTCTCAAAGCTTCTATGAAGTTTGAATGGTGCCAAATATGCTCACTTTACAATTAATCATAATACAATTCATCAATATTTCTTTTTGGATAATTTTTACTATTAACTCAAACACTTCTTCACTTCTAAGATTCAATATCTTCCTATGTAAAAATACCCATAGAGTTTCTTAACTTCCTCTAACTCACTTTAACTTCATTGAACTCTTAACTAACCATTAATGGAGCCACATTACTCCAATCACTTCACTAAAGGTAGATCTTTGGATATTTATAACTTTTGACAACCAAAAACGCATAGAGCCATAAATATTAGATTTGAATAGCTCAAACAACTCCCATTAACTCAATTTAAGTCAATAAGCTTGGACCCACAGCCTTTATGAACAAAAAATCATCATTCTCAACCAAACCTAAACTCCCAACATCAAGAAAATGGAAGAAAAAAAAGGAAGAAATGAGCTTAAAAACCTTACCTTAAGTGTTATTTAACTCTAATATGCTTCAAATATTTGAATTTTTCAAGCCCTAGCAGAGCTCCTCATGCTTCTCTTCGTTTTTCTCCCTTCTCTCTCCATTTCACAAGCTGCAAAACACTCTTATTTTTGTAAAAAAAAAAAATCATGAGCCATGGCAGACGCATCACATGCCACGTTTATGACACAAAGAAGTCTTGCCTAAGCATATTAGCTCACATGTGCCACGATGGATTACCCACAAGTCACGACATGTAGCACAGAACCTCACTCTTTAGATTTTTTTTTCTATTTCATATTCGGATGACCTGACTTCACTTCAAACCCCCATTTAAGGTTGAAATTACAACCAAATACACCTGTTAGACTTTTCTGACCACCTCACTAATAAACTTAATTATTCTAGTCAGGCACGATTAATTAAATTTAAATTTTAAGGATGTTACACTATCCACTCCCTGATATGATAGAAAAGTTTTTGAAGAAAATTGAATAAGAAATTAAATGAAATTGATAATACATTTTCAAAGTACTTTTATATGATAGAAAAAGTAAAAGAAATGTTCATTTAATTTATATTTAATACGTAGATTTAGTCTGAAAAGATGAAAAATCCTCATTGTAAAGTGTAATCAACTCCTATCATCATACACTTACTCGTGAGATCAGTGTCAGTAATAACAGGCCACAATGTTTATCTGCTAGGAAATGTTGGTGTGACATCTATAAAAAATGATTAAAAAATCATTTAAAATTGGTTCAATCGCGTAGTTGATGGAGTTGCCAGCTAAAAAAATAGTTATGTAGATGGTCTTTACCTTGCTAGAAAAAGGTAAGGAAAAGTTTAAAAAAAAAAAAGACACTTAGAAAGGTTATTGAAGAGAATCCATTGATAAATAAAATATTTAAAGAATTAGTTGTTAATTAAACTCGTCCATTTTTGTTTTGTCAGATTTAACCTCGTCCATTGATATAAAGTATAAACTTTTTGTTTTTTTGTTTTTTAATCCAAGGTATCCT